CATACCCTGTTGTCGTAGAGCTTCCAGTTGATCAGCAGTTCCGACAGGCACGCACCCACCAGCCCAAACAGAGTTGAATCTCGAGTCAACAAAATGAACTACTCATCAAAGAAAGCAAGCACCCAATGCCATACCCTGTTGTCGTAGAGCTTCCAGTTGATCAGCAGTTCCGACAGGCACGCACCCACCAGCCCAAACAGAGTTGAATCTCGAGTCAACAAAATGAACTACTCATCAAAGAAAGCAAGCACCCAATGCCATACCCTGTTGTCGTAGAGCTTCCAGTTGATCAGCAGTTCCGACAGGCACGCACCCACCAGCCCAAACAGAGTTGAATCTCGAGTCAACAAAATGAACTACTCATCAAAGAAAGCAAGCACCCAATGCCATACCCTGTTCTCGTAGAGCTTCCAGTTGATCAGCAGTTCCGACAGGCACGCACCCACCAGCCCAAACAGAGTTGAATCTCGAGTCAACAAAATGAACTACTCATCAAAGAAAGCAAGCACCCAATGCCATACCCTGTTCTCGTAGAGCTTCCAGTTGATCAGCAGTTCCGACAGGCACGCACCCACCAGCCCAAACAGAGTTGAATCTCGAGTCAACAAAATGAACTACTCATCAAAGAAAGCAAGCACCCAATGCCATACCCTGTTGTCGTAGAGCGTCCAGTTGATCAGCAGTTCCGACAGGCACGCACCCACCAGCCCAAACAGAGTTGAATCTCGAGTCAACAAAATGAACTACTCATCAAAGAAAGCAAGCACCCAATGCCATACCCTGTTGTCGTAGAGCTTCCTGTTGATCAGCAGTTCCGACAGGCACGCACCCACCAGCCCAAACAGAGTTGAATCTCGAGTCAACAAAATGAACTACTCATCAAAGAAAGCAAGCACCCAATGCCATACCCTGTTCTCGTAGAGCTTCCAGTTGATCAGAAGTTCCAACAGGCACGCACCCACCAGCCCAAACAGAGTTGAATCTCGAGTCAACAAAATGAACTACTCATCAAAGAAAGCAAGCACCCAATGCCATACGCTGTTGTCGTAGAGCTTCCAGTTGATCAGCAGTTCCGACAGGCACGCACCCACCAGCCCAAACAGAGTTGAATCTCGAGTCAACAAAATGAACTACTCATCAAAGAAAGCAAGCACCCAATGCCATACGCTGTTGTCGTAGAGCTTCCAGTTGATCAGCAGTTCCGACAGGCACGCACCCACCAGCCCAAACAGAGTTGAATCTCGAGTCAACAAAATGAACTACTCATCAAAGAAAGCAAGCACCCAATGCCATACGCTGTTGTCGTAGAGCTTCCAGTTGATCAGCAGTTCCGACAGGCACGCACCCACCAGCCCAAACAGAGTTGAATCTCGAGTCAACAAAATGAACTACTCATCAAAGAAAGCAAGCACCCAATGCCATACCCTGTTGTCGTAGAGCTTCCAGTTGATCAGCAGTTCCGACAGGCACGCACCCACCAGCCCAAACAGAGTTGAATCTCGAGTCAACAAAATGAACTACTCATCAAAGAAAGCAAGCACCCAATGCCATACCCTGTTCTCGTAGAGCTTCCAGTTGATCAGCAGTTCCGACAGGCACGCACCCACCAGCCCAAACAGAGTTGAATCTCGAGTCAACAAAATGAACTACTCATCAAAGAAAGCAAGCACCCAATGCCATACCCTGTTGTCGTAGAGCTTCCAGTTGATCAGCAGTTCCGACAGGCACGCACCCACCAGCCCAAACAGAGTTGAATCTCGAGTCAACAAAATGAACTACTCATCAAAGAAAGCAAGCACCCAATGCCATACCCTGTTGTCGTAGAGCTTCCAGTTGATCAGCAGTTCCGACAGGCACGCACCCACCAGCCCAAACAGAGTTGAATCTCGAGTCAACAAAATGAACTACTCATCAAAGAAAGCAAGCACCCAATGCCATACCCTGTTGTCGTAGAGCTTCCAGTTGATCAGCAGTTCCGACAGGCATGCACCCACCAGCCCAAACAGAGTTGAATCTCGAGTCAACAAAATGAACTACTCATCAAAGAAAGCAAGCACCCAATGCCATACCCTGTTCTCGTAGAGCTTCCAGTTGATCAGCAGTTCCGACAGGCACGCACCCACCAGCCCAAACAGAGTTGAATCTCGAGTCAACAAAATGAACTACTCATCAAAGAAAGCAAGCACCCAATGCCATACCCTGTTGTCGTAGAGCTTCCAGTTGATCAGCAGTTCCGACAGGCACGCACCCACCAGCCCAAACAGAGTTGAATCTCGAGTCAACAAAATGAACTACTCATCAAAGAAAGCAAGCACCCAATGCCATACCCTGTTGTCGTAGAGCTTCCAGTTGATCAGCAGTTCCGACAGGCACGCACCCACCAGCCCAAACAGAGTTGAATCTCGAGTCAACAAAATGAACTACTCATCAAAGAAAGCAAGCACCCAATGCCATACCCTGTTCTCGTAGAGCTTCCAGTTGATCAGCAGTTCCGACAGGCACGCACCCACCAGCCCAAACAGAGTTGAATCTCGAGTCAACAAAATGAACTACTCATCAAAGAAAGCAAGCACCCAATGCCATACCCTGTTGTCGTAGAGCTTCCAGTTGATCAGCAGTTCCGACAGGCACGCACCCACCAGCCCAAACAGAGTTGAATCTCGAGTCAACAAAATGAACTACTCATCAAAGAAAGCAAGCACCCAATGCCATACCCTGTTGTCGTAGAGCTTCCAGTTGATCAGCAGTTCCGACAGGCACGCACCCACCAGCCCAAACAGAGTTGAATCTCGAGTCAACAAAATGAACTACTCATCAAAGAAAGCAAGCACCCAATGCCATACCCTGTTGTCGTAGAGCTTCCAGTTGATCAGCAGTTCCGACAGGCATGCACCCACCAGCCCAAACAGAGTTGAATCTCGAGTCAACAAAATGAACTACTCATCAAAGAAAGCAAGCACCCAATGCCATACCCTGTTCTCGTAGAGCTTCCAGTTGATCAGCAGTTCCGACAGGCACGCACCCACCAGCCCAAACAGAGTTGAATCTCGAGTCAACAAAATGAACTACTCATCAAAGAAAGCAAGCACCCAATGCCATACCCTGTTGTCGTAGAGCTTCCAGTTGATCAGCAGTTCCGACAGGCACGCACCCACCAGCCCAAACAGAGTTGAATCTCGAGTCAACAAAATGAACTACTCATCAAAGAAAGCAAGCACCCAATGCCATACCCTGTTGTCGTAGAGCTTCCAGTTGATCAGCAGTTCCGACAGGCACGCACCCACCAGCCCAAACAGAGTTGAATCTCGAGTCAACAAAATGAACTACTCATCAAAGAAAGCAAGCACCCAATGCCATACCCTGTTGTCGTAGAGCTTCCAGTTGATCAGCAGTTCCGACAGGCACGCACCCACCAGCCCAAACAGAGTTGAATCTCGAGTCAACAAAATGAACTACTCATCAAAGAAAGCAAGCACCCAATGCCATACCCTGTTGTCGTAGAGCTTCCAGTTGATCAGCAGTTCCGACAGGCATGCACCCACCAGCCCAAACAGAGTTGAATCTCGAGTCAACAAAATGAACTACTCATCAAAGAAAGCAAGCACCCAATGCCATACCCTGTTCTCGTAGAGCTTCCAGTTGATCAGCAGTTCCGACAGGCACGCACCCACCAGCCCAAACAGAGTTGAATCTCGAGTCAACAAAATGAACTACTCATCAAAGAAAGCAAGCACCCAATGCCATACCCTGTTGTCGTAGAGCTTCCAGTTGATCAGCAGTTCCGACAGGCACGCACCCACCAGCCCAAACAGAGTTGAATCTCGAGTCAACAAAATGAACTACTCATCAAAGAAAGCAAGCACCCAATGCCATACCCTGTTGTCGTAGAGCTTCCAGTTGATCAGCAGTTCCGACAGGCACGCACCCACCAGCCCAAACAGAGTTGAATCTCGAGTCAACAAAATGAACTACTCATCAAAGAAAGCAAGCACCCAATGCCATACCCTGTTCTCGTAGAGCTTCCAGTTGATCAGAAGTTCCGACAGGCACGCACCCACCAGCCCAAACAGAGTTGAATCTCGAGTCAACAAAATGAACTACTCATCAAAGAAAGCAAGCACCCAATGCCATACCCTGTTGTCGTAGAGCTTCCAGTTGATCAGCAGTTCCGACAGGCATGCACCCACCAGCCCAAACAGAGTTGAATCTCGAGTCAACAAAATGAACTACTCATCAAAGAAAGCAAGCACCCAATGCCATACCCTGTTCTCGTAGAGCTTCCAGTTGATCAGCAGTTCCGACAGGCACGCACCCACCAGCCCAAACAGAGTTGAATCTCGAGTCAACAAAATGAACTACTCATCAAAGAAAGCAAGCACCCAATGCCATACCCTGTTGTCGTAGAGCTTCCAGTTGATCAGCAGTTCCGACAGGCACGCACCCACCAGCCCAAACAGAGTTGAATCTCGAGTCAACAAAATGAACTACTCATCAAAGAAAGCAAGCACCCAATGCCATACCCTGTTGTCGTAGAGCTTCCAGTTGATCAGCAGTTCCGACAGGCATGCACCCACCAGCCCAAACAGAGTTGAATCTCGAGTCAACAAAATGAACTACTCATCAAAGAAAGCAAGCACCCAATGCCATACCCTGTTGTCGTAGAGCTTCCAGTTGATCAGCAGTTCCGACAGGCACGCACCCACCAGCCCAAACAGAGTTGAATCTCGAGTCAACAAAATGAACTACTCATCAAAGAAAGCAAGCACCCAATGCCATACCCTGTTGTCGTAGAGCTTCCAGTTGATCAGCAGTTCCGACAGGCACGCACCCACCAGCCCAAACAGAGTTGAATCTCGAGTCAACAATATGAACTACTCATCAAAGAAAGCAAGCACCCAATGCCATACCCTGTTGTCGTAGAGCTTCCAGTTGATCAGCAGTTCCGACAGGCACGCACCCACCAGCCCAAACAGAGTTGAATCTCGAGTCAACAAAATGAACTACTCATCAAAGAAAGCAAGCACCCAATGCCATACCCTGTTGTCATAGAGCTTCCATTTGATCAGCAGTTCCGACAGGCACGCACCCACCAGCCCAAACAACGCTCCAGATGCACCCACGCTGATCTGAGGGCAGGGAATCAATGTTGATTCCAGGTAAAATCAGAGAATTGAGAAGGGGTGAGGTTGGGTGGGTGGGTGGGTAGAAGGGGGAGAGAAGGGGTGAGGGGGATGAACAAGGAAAACAAGGGTGAATGATCCACACAAGCACCTTCTCTGAATTTGATATGAAGCATTCGCTGGCGTCACTTGTAGGAGCAAAATGACTATTGACGCAGGGAGGAGAGGGGCGCATATTACAGAGTCACTGCACTGCGGTGTTTAGGTGGATTTCTCATCTGTTTAAAGTTTTTTCAAGCCATAGCGGGTGGTCGTACCTGTGTGTCGAGAAAGAGGCATGAGAAGACGGCAGCAAAGAACCCACTGAGAAGGTAGATGGCCGTCGGTCGCCCTACCACGGAGAAGCACAGGAGAGTACACGGAGCGGACAGCAGAGGGAGCATGGCGCAAAGGGGCACAGAGTATGCAGCATGGTGAATGTTTGCTGTTACACGAATTGAAGGATCATATGTGCTTCGAGAACCTGAATCTATCCCTCCTCCCCTCCCCGCACCTACGTGCGCACCAAGCCCTCCCCCCATAAATTTCCCCTCAATCCCCTCCTCGCCCGTTGATTCGCACCCGTCCAGGCCCCCCTCTCCCCCCCCCTTCCCCCCGCTTCCCCCTCCCCCTCCCTTCCCCACCCAATTACCTACCTCCACCACACAACATCAGTCCATCCCCTTTCCCCCAACCATCTCGCCTTACGCCATACCACCACACCACCACTACACCGCACCACACCACACCACACCACACCACGCACGAACACAGCCCGAACTCCTTCTCGAGGCGGTTGAGCAGGAAGGCGATGCCGAGGAGGTTACACACGAGATGCACCACGCCGCCGTGTAACCACATGGCCGTTACCAGCCGCCAGCCTTGGTGGTAGTTGGTAACCAGGTTACTGTTCAGCGCGCCCATGTCCTGAAGCCTGGAGGGTTGCGACGACGACGGGAGGTCACACATATGGTGGGGTATGGATGTGACGAAGACATGTTTTACGCGAAATCATTCTTTAGATGACTCAAACGTAGTTGGTAACCAGGTTAGTGTTGAGCGCGCCCATGTTGTGAAGCTTAGAGGGCTGCGACGACGGCAGGTGAGGACGACATCCAGACGGATACGCGACAGACGCGCAATGATCAGCTTCGAAACACCCATTAGAGACGTCTGAGTGATATACTCGAAAGAGCAAAGACCGGGCTAGAGGGGAAGAGGGTGGCGGGGGGAGGGGGAAGGGGCGGGGTGGGGGGTTTGTGGGGGAGGGAGGAGGAAGGGGTAGGGTGGTAAGTCACAGGTCGCTTACGTTAAGGCGGTTGGACCGAAGAGAGGGTTGATATTAAGCGGCTCGAAGGAGAAGCGACCCAGCCAAGGCAGCACGCAGCTCTGGCCTTGCGGGTGCGGCTTCGACGGGCAATCATTCACCGCCATGGTCACAATAAAGACTACTATGCAGGCGATTAATACGGTCAGCGCCAGCCATGGCACCTTCCTATACCACCGCGGTTTCCGAGAAGGATCCCGAGGGTTTGAAGGTGGAACAACAGGGGGGTACGCTGCTGGGTTGATTCCGGAGGGGTATTCAGGCGGAGGAGGAGGAGGGTACGCGTACGGTACGATCGTACTGCCAGATGCGTACGAGTGGAACTGACCCCCTTGATGATACGCGGAGTGGCTGTCGTCAGCGTACTCGTTATGAGATGACACGATGGCGGGATGGGAAGGAGCGTACGGGTATTCGCCGGAGCGCGAGTGAGCGAGCGGAGCGGAGGGAGTGGAGGAGAGAGAGGAGGAGGAGCGGAGGCTCGTAGACGACGGCATCTCGACGTCGCTCGAATAAGGATCTGAGCCTCCGCGACCTACTATGCGACCCATTGCGAAATAATCCAGACAATGGGTTCTAAGAGAATGAAGCGGACGATAAGCGGATGCTTAACTACGCGGTAATCGATTCTTTAAGATTGTCCTAGAAGTAGGAGGAGCGGCGCGTATAGCAAGTGATTCCGCCAACAAGCGGTCAAGAGAGATGAAAGGAACTGAAGTTAGGGACAGAACCAATCATCGTTAGACCAAAAGCTCAAGCTACCCAATAGCTCACATCAGATCAGAACCAACATTATAGGTCACCTTGAGCTGTTACAGGGTGTCATCTCCCTGACAAAAGGACCGACAAATGGGAATGGGTGCTGTAGCTTGTCCTAGAGAATGCCGAGAAGATTCACCTCCATTGTATTTGTGAACTGTACAAGTTTCCGCCATGCTCCCACAAACCCATACTTTCCGCTCATTTCACAAAGTGCGTTAGCTGAAAGACGGCGGAAAAGAGGCGATTCTGCAGATGTTTCCGCGCGGGCTGGGCTTGAAATGTTTTTGTCTGTAATCCTCCGCCTTGCTTCACCAATGTCAGCTGCAACTTCCGGAGATTCCGCGCAAAAGCTGTCCATTCTTCCGCCAAGGGCTGTGTTTTGTTCCCCTTGGTGGAAAAAGGGAGGCGCAGAGCGGTGCCGTGCGCAGTCACGGCAGTCCCCGCTTCCGCGACCGAGCTGGTCTAGTCCCCCCTCAGCCTTGCGAACGCTTTCTGTGACACCTTGTGCGCATCGCTTCGACCAGTCACTGAATTCCAACACATATGTTCCACACCGACCGACCACCAGCGAGGTGACACAAGCGAACCTGACATCCGCGATCATGTACACGTAACTGACATAATGTAAGTGTTACACTAGGAGGAATAGTTGTACAATAAATAGTGAGACCCTGCACATACAGATATAGAATATGGACATGGATTCAACGGCACTTTCGACGTGTATAAAAACGAGGAACTTCATTCCGAGTACATAAAGATAAATAGTTTAGATGCCCAACTGCGCCCTGCTGTTTGCTACGGGACGTGGAAAATAGCTGACAGGTGACGTGGCACACGTCGGAAATATCTCATGGTTGGGACCAAGCAGATGCGCTTTTCATTGCACTTTTTCACTTTCTTGACACACAAAAGCCGGCGTAGATCTCTCATCCGATACTTTCATGTGACCTGGATGACCTTTTTCGATCGGCCCGCACTGTCCGCGATTGGTGCACAGCTGTTGAGATTTCTTCATCAACGATAACCACCAATCCGCACATCCACTTTCTTTACCTTTTTCTTCCCTCCTCATCGCTTTCTTTCCTCCTCCTGTCACTCTCACCTTCCATTCAGGGATCTCGTTTCCTTCTGATCTTCAAGACATTCCAAAGAGCCCACATCAAACAGTCTGCTCCCTGCAGCAGCACATCAGCGTTTCCGAGGTTCCAATGAGGGTTTCCTACATGGTCTGCAGACAAACCCAGATGAAGCTGTCTTTCCTTTGACTCGCATTAACTTGGCTCTCTTGTTAGCAGTCTTTGCTTGAACGCTTATTGTCGATTGATCGATGCAAAAGGCGTCAAAGTGTGGATTGCTTGCCTTGAATTATTCTTGATTAGGGCTGATCATAGTGTAGTTAATAATCTCTGCACTTAGTCTTTCTTCCGACACTGATCGCTCTCCATTTTTTCAAGGACGTTTCAAAACGAAGCTTTCGCTGGGTTACCAAATTTCAACTCCCTCATCACACCCCATAATACGTCTTTCCGTCGTAACCTCCATTGGTTTTCTCGATGAAGCTCGCCATAACAAGCTTTTCAAATCTTTCCAGTATAAAGCTTTCCCTTCCATAGCTACGCATTCCGCCATGTTTCCTGAAAAGAGAGATCTCTCGTATTTCCTCCCCTTCGGCCCCGCACCGAGCCTGAGCACGCTACCGTCGGACGCGGGATTCGGCGGGAGCCGCGAAGCCGGCGTTACAACCGGCGTTGCCGCCGGTGGTGTTGCCGGCGCAGGCACGAGCTACGGCTTCAGCGGTGCCGGCCCGGCGGGGTTTAACACGGATGCGGCGAACACAGCGGCGTCGCGGCTGTACGCGACGGGAGTGATTGACAGCAGTAACCAGCCAGCGAAAGATAACAACAATCAGACGAACAACAATAACAACAACAGTGCGAGCGTGAGCAGCACGCGGAGAGAGTATGCGTGGCCCGGGACCGTCGCTCATGCGTTCGCCGCCATTGCGCGTGGCCCCGCTGCTAGCCAGGTGCGCTTGCTGGAATCAGCATCAGCTTGCGCTGGTTGTTTCACGAAGTTTGTCCAAACTCCAGTTTCCTGCGTTATTTCACGCGTGCTCTCATACTCGTGTTCTACATCTCCGGTGTCTCCCTGTCCGCGCCGCAGGTGGCGAGTGGCGAGACGTTAGCCGACGCGATAATCGACATTCGCAGGGAGCTGAGTCTCAGCGATGGTAACCCTCGGCTCGCGAAAGGCCTCGCTGAATTCTTCGACGAGGTGAGTTCAACAACCTCGTCTGGTACGCGGGTGTTTTCAAGTCGAATCAGGAATGTGGAAATGTGCATTTGCCAACGTCCCTTCGAGTCTATTCATGTCAACCCTCGCTGCTTGAACGCTATTCTCATCCCTCTCCTCCCTGTCCCCTTAACCCCTCTCGCCCCAAACGTACCTGCAGATTCTCTCCGAGGAGGAATCTCAGGAGTTTTTCTTCTTCACGCTGCCCGGAATGGCCTCGCTCGCTCTCCGTCTCCCGAGCCTCGTCTCCCAGCAGGCTCGGAGCGTGGCTCGGGCAGCCCAAGCCGCAGCGCAATCCGGCAGCAGCGGGGGGAGCGGAAGCGGCGGAAGCGGAAGCGGAAGCGGGAGCGGGGGGAGTGAGAAGTGGCGGAGGGGGACGCAGATGACGCTGCAGCTGCTGAGGCCGCAGCAGCCGGGGCTTGTGCTTATAACGCAGGAGCTTGCTGCGGCGCTATTGGTGGGCGCGTTCTTCTGCGTGTATCCCACGGCCGGGCGCGCGCAGGAGAGACTACCAGAGATCAACTTCGACCGCCTCTATGGGTGAGTCTCCACCCTCTCACCCCTCTTTCTATCCGCTCTCTCCGTTTGCCCAACCCCTCATCTGTTGCGCTAGCCAAGGGCATATACGAGGAGTCGCCGCAGCAGCAGGAGAAGCTGCGCTGCCTGCTGCATCAATCCTGCCGCGTCCTCTCCCCGTGCCTCAGAGCATTGATTGCCTCAGAATCCCATCGTTCCCCTCCCCATTCCCGTCCTTTCCGAACCTCTCAGCGGCATATACGAGGGCTCGCCGCAACAACAAGAGAAGCTGCGCTGCCTGCTGCACTACTTCCGCCGAGTCGTCTCCTCCATGCCTCAGGGCGCCGTCTCCTACGAGCGCAAGGTGCTGCCGCTCACTGCTGTCACACCCGCCACTGTCACACCCGCTGCTGCCGCCCCGCCGACCCTCCACCCGTTCAACACCCCCGGTACTGACACACCAGGCCACCTAAAGCAACAGCAGCAGCAGCAGCAGCAGGATGTATTGGGTTGGGGTGGGGAGGCAGGGGAGGGTGGAGGGCGGGGAAGTGGGACCATGAGACAAGGCGGAGGTAGTTCGCCGCCCGGAAGCGGTGGGAGTGGTGGGCAGGGTGGGCGGCACGGTAGCGGTAATGGCGGCAGTAAGGGCAGTGGTAACGGCGGCGGTAACGGTAACGGTAACGGTAATGGTAACGGGAACGGTTACGGTAGTGGTTACCACAGTGGTTCCCGAAGCTCGCCCATGCAGAAAAGCAGCTCCAACCGAAGCTCAGGTCCGACAACTGGCTCGGATCCGAGCCTGGGAGGGTCGTGGGGGAAGGGCGGGGAAGGAGGGGGGTTGCGGAGTGGAGGGAGCACCAGGAGCTTCGGGGGGAGCTGGGGGACGCTTCCCCCTCCCCCTGGCGCGGACTTCTGGGGGACAAGGCGGATTCCGCTCTGCGCCCTGGTGGTGAGTGCGAAGGGCGTTGTGGGGGGGGAGGGGAGAGGGTTGTTGGGGGGAGAGGCGTGCTGGGTGAAGGGGGATGTTGGAGATAAGAGGTGTGTTGAGTGGGGGGACAGGTTTGGGTGAGTGAGATAGGATGCATATTTGGGAGGAAAAACAGAAGGCATTTGTGCAGTGCTTCCAATCATATCACACCTGTTGCTTGATGCACTGCTCTTTTTTTGTCACATGGCCTCCCCCTTACCCCTCTTCCACCCGTTCCTCCCTCCCAACACACCCCCCTTCCCCCTCTCTCCCCCCATGCACCACCAGGTGCCCATGCACCACCAGGTGCATGAGCGCGGCACAATAGAGGACGACGGCACGGGCTGTCTGTAGGTGGACGACGAAACGCCGCAGCACATATCTTCACTTCACACGCTCCTCCCATTCCTCCCATCTGCCTCCCCCTCTTCAGGTGCACGAGCGCGGCACAATAGAGGACGACGGCACGGGCTGTGTGCAGGTGGACTTCGCCAATGCCTTTGTGGGCGGCGGCACGCTCGGCTCGGGGTGCGCGCAGGAGGAGATTCGTTTCGTCATCTGCCCGGAGCTCATCGTGGGAATGCTTTTCCTGCCCGCCATGGAGAACAACGAGACGATTGAGATCGTGGGGCCCGAGCGGTTCACTAGATACACTGGGTGAGTCAGCAGATACACAGGGTGAGTCAGCAGATACACAGGGTGAGTCAGCAGATACACAGGGTGAGTCAGCAGATACACAGGGTGAGTCAGCCGATACACAGGGTGAGTCAGCAGATACACAGGGTGAGTCAGCAGATACACAGGGTGAGTCAGCAGATACACAGGGTGAGTCAGCAGATACACTGGGTGAGTCAGCAGGTTCTCTGAGTCAGTCAGCAGATACACTGGGTGAGTCAGCGGATACAGCTCGCTGAGCAAAGAAGTTAAGTAGACGAGTCCAATCTATGGAGATTCTATACCCTGGTAACTGAACCCAAGTTTCATACCATCCCTTCTCCCTCCCTCCTCACCATCCCCTCTCACCCCCCAACCCCCCTCTCCCATCTCTCTACCCACCCCCAAAATCATCCTCAGCTACGCAGCAACGTTCAAGTTCGCCGGGGATTTCATCGACACAGCCCCTCGGGATTCCCTAGGCCGCCGCCAGACGCGGATAGTAGCCATGGACGCGCTCTCCCACGCAGCAGACCGCCAATTCCGCAGCTCCTATCTCCTCAGGGAGACCAACAAGGCCTTCTGCGGGTTCCTAGACCATGCCTCTGCCAGGGGTTTCGCCGGCGGGTCGATTCTCGCGAGTAATGACAGTAATAGCCCGGTGTTTTTGGATGGTGCTGCGCAAATGTCACTGTCGAGGGATTTTTTTAGTGGTGAGGGAGGGGTGGGGGGGTCTGTGTCGGGGTTTCGGAGGGGGGAGAGAGGGGGGAGTGGGAGTGAAGGGGAGGGGAGGGGGAGTGGAGGTGAGGAAGGGGGGAGGAGTTTGGGGGAAGGGCGTGGGGGAGAGGAGAGGGGAGCGGGGGGAGGGAACGAAGGGATGATTGTTGATGGGGGCGGGGTGGCGCCGAGAAAGAGCGGAGGAGGGAGGGGGGGAGGGGGAGGGGGGGGAGGCGGGGGAGGGAGAGGAGGAATAAGAAGGTACTTTGAGAGGAGTGGAGGGACGAGGAGAGGGCAGGGGGAGGGTGCATCTGGGGGTTTAATGGGGAATATGGGTACAGGGCGGGGGGAAGGAAGGCAGGGGAGTGGGGAAGGCAGTAAGGAGGGCAGTGGAGAAGGGGAGAACAGGAGTGGTGAGGGGAGTGGAACTGAGAAGCGAAATGGGGGAATGCAGACAGGTGGTGATAACAGAGGAAAGGGCAGCGGAAGTGACAATAGCGAAGGGAACCCTGCAGACGCCGCCACAGCTCGCTGCCCGAGTGAAGCAGCGCCTCGGCCTGTCAGCAGCTGTGACAATAACGAGGGGAGGAAAAGCCAGCCAAGCAACAGCGGAAATACGAACAACAGCAGCGGCAACCACAGTAGTGGCAACAACAGCAGCGCCAACAATAGCACTCACATGCAGGGCAGTAGCAGGGCCACTGCAGGCACGAGTTCTGGTTCTGACTCACGGCTCGGGAGAGAAGGGGGAGTGGGCGGGCGAGACTCGAGTGAGAGTGAAAGGGTGGAGGGGGAGGAAGAGGAGGAAGAAGAGGAAGAGGAGGAGGAGGGAGAGGAGGAAGGGGAGGAGGTGCGGGAGGAGGATGGGTTTGTCATGGTGGAGAGGGGTGGAGGGAGGCTGGAGGGAGTGCGGGAGGAGTGGGGGGAAGAGAGAGAGGCGGAGCAACCAGGGGGGGTTGAAGAGGCTGCTGCATGGGTAGGTGGGGTTGTGGTGGGCGGCCATGGGGAGAGGAGGGAGATGGAGGTAGAGGGTGAGGCAACCCCAATGGAGGAGGACTATATCGAGGACAAGCCAGTAGACGTTCAGAAGGCTAATGACGACACAGAGATGAAGGAGAAGGAAGTGAGGGCAGAGGGGGAGGACGCACATGACAAGCAGGGTCAATCCGCAAGCCAGGCTTCTGGAGAGTCACCACAGCTGGGCAGCGCCAATAGGGCGTCTGAGCAGACACCGTCCCCATCCCTGCCCTTCGTGCGGACTGATGCTCTCATGACATCAGCAGGAGGGTTGATGACATCAGCAGGAGGGTTGATGCCATCAGCAGGCGTTGCTGTGCCTGCGGGGGCGGTTTGTTTCCCCTCCATCTCCCCCCAGGGCACCGGCACTGGGACAGGGGGAACTGGCGCGGGCACAGGGGGAACTGGCGCGGGGACAGGGGGGAGGACGTGGGGATCAGGGGCAGCCACTGGAGGGGGGAGTGGCGGCGCCATAGGGGGAGGGACGGGGGGAACTGGGGGAACAGGGGGAAGGGGAGGTGCAACAGGAAAGGGTGGTGGTGCGGAAGGGGGTGGAGGGAGAGCGGAAGGCAGTGGAAGTGATACCCAAAGCCAGGCGGCAACTGATTCGAGCGGGAGGCATTTGTCTCTTTCTGGGCTGAGGCGGGCGGTGGAGGAGGAGGTGGTTGGGGCGGGCAGCGGGGGAGGGCTTGGGGAGCATGGGGGACAGGAGGAGACGGGGAGTGGGGGGGGGAGCAGGGGGAGGAGTAGGGATGAGAATGGGAGTGACAGCGGGGGGAGTGATGACTTGGGGAGTGGGGACCACAGAAGGAGGGTCCGTGCTTTTCATACTGCTGCTACAGCTGCTACCGCTGCCACTACTGCTGCCGTCGCTGCTACTGTTGCCACTGCCATTGCTGCTGCCACTGCTGTAACTGCTGCTGTATATACACCAGCAGGTGTAGCAGCTCAAAGAACGAGTCCTGGGCATTCAGCAGCAGCTAACACTGAGGCTGCTGCAGTAGGGGGAGCAGATGGACGGGCAGGACAGGAAGCTGTGGCAGGGGTGGGAGGGGTTGCTTGGGGGACGGGTGCAGAGGTGGCACGTGACGCAGCAGGGGCAGCAGCACCAACCACAGCACTACCAGTAGCGGAGGCAGCAGCGGCGGCGGCTGAGGCGGCGGCTGGGGAAGCAGCAGCAGCGGTGGCAGCAGCAGCGGGCATGAGGCCGGGTCGACTGAGTCTGACGTCCCAGCACAACCGCATGGGCATAGCGACGGGCAACTGGGGGTGTGGCGTGTTTGGGGGCGATCTGGAGGTGAAGAGCATGGTGCAGTGGATGGCTGCTTCTGAGGCCGGCCGCCCCTTTGTGCTCTACTTCACCTATGCCGACCACCGCGCCGCCCGGCTCAAGGAGGTGAGGATCCCACCACCACCACTAAATGGTGTCTGAATAGTGTTGAGGGAGGGGTGGTGCGTGGGCGAGTTGTGGCTCGGGTCTCAAGACGACACATATTTTTGAGGTCTCAAGAAGACACATATTTTTGAGGTCTCAAGAAGACACATATTTTTGAGGCCTCAAGCCATTTTTTTGCCCTTTCCCTGAATCCGTGCAGGTGTGTGAGTGGCTGCTGAGGGAGGGGTGGAGTGTGGGAGAGCTGTGGACGACCGTGGCTGAGTACAGCCGGCAGCGACGAGACCACCAGCTGCTCCTGCAGGTGCCCCAGCAGCACTCGGATCACCACCACCACTCCCAGCAGCAGCACCACCAGCAAGATATGGATTACCAGTACCAGCACCACCAGCAGCAGCATTACCATGATCAGCAGCAGGGGCAGGGGCAGCATGGGCAGGGGCATGGGGAGAGGAGGCGGCAGCGGTACGGCACACCGGTGTCCTTCTTTGACTGGCTCATCCCCGTGCAACAACGTTCCGGTAGGTAGGTGGGCGGATGGGCGGGTAGGTGGGTGGGTGGGCGGGCAGTCACAGAACATGCATGGGGGCAGCAGGGGCGCGGGGAGAGGAGGCAGTGGCATCCGGTGTCCTTCTTTGACTGGCTCATCCCCGTGCAACAACGTTCCGGTAGATAGGTGGGCGGGCAGGCAGGCAGGCAGGCAGGCAGGCAGGCAGGCAGGCAGGCAGGCAGGCAGGCAGGCAGGCAGGCAGGCAGGCAGGCAGGCGGGTGGGCAGGAGGGCAAATGGGACTGCATCCGCATGCGCATGCTCCTCCCCCTATGCTTCATTACATCTGTTTTGCTTCTGAGAGACAAGCCATGTTGCTTTTTGAAATAAAACAAACCAGATCTGATGTAAGGGAAACCAATGGACTTTGAGAGGGCTTTGTGGACAGGAAAATAAATTAGATAGGCTTTTTCTTGCCGCCCTCCCCTTTGAATGAGACTTGGTTGACTTTTGAGGCGCCTCATAAATTAGATAGGCTTTTTCTTGCCGCCCTCCCCTTTGAATGAGACTTGGAAGGAAGCCGGACTAACTCCAGTGCTTCAGTTACTTCCCCCCACCCCCGTCCATCCAAACCTGTCAGCAGGTTCTCCCGAGCCTGACGCCAAGCGTGCCCGCCTGTCCACCTCCGGAGGCTCGTCCCGAGCCGTGTCATCCCCTCCCCGCACCTCCCGCTCCCTGCACACCGAACTGCAGTACGCGTTTGAAGACCCGTGCCTCGTGCCTGAAGTGGGCGGGGGGGCTGATGAGCCGAGACCTGGCCAGCAAAGTGGACGCGTGGAGGCCGGTGAAGGCATGCGGCGTGGTGGTGTGATGGATGGCCAAGGAGGAGTGCATGGGGCCGAGGCACAGAGAGAAGGGCGCAGAGAGGAGCTAGTGCAAGGAGCAGGGCGCAGAGAGGAGGCAGAAGGAACAGGGCAAGGAGACGAGCAGGAGCAGAGAGAGCAGCAGCGACACGAAGACGGGCACAGGGACGAGGTGCAAGAGAGGGAGGAGAGAGGCGACAGGGGAGGGCAGGTAGGGCAGCTGGAGGCAGGGCGGGGTGGGCACGTTCAGGGCCCTGGGGAAGTGGGAGCAGCGATCTGTGCAGAGGCGAATGTTGAGGCGTGGCAGGGGGGCGAGGGGGCGGAGGAGGACGGAGTGGCCGGGCTTGGGAAGGATGAGAGGGAGGAGGGGCAAGTGGAAGGGCGAGAGGAGAGGCAAGGGGAGCGGCGAGGGGAGTTAATGGGTCAACAGGGAGAGGTTCCAGTATTGAACAGGGAAGCAAGGTGGCATGGGGATGGGGATGGTGGGGCCGCTGGCGATGGCAATGGGAGAGATGAGGAAAGCATGCACGACGAGGAGACTGAGGAGCCGGAGCGAGAGGAGGAGGAGCTGGAGCAGGAGGAGGGGAGAGGAGCGGCCATGAATGGCCAGTCGGTGCCTCGTTGGGGAGAGTCCAGCGCTCAGAGCAGCAGACAGCACAGACAGCAGCCGCAGCAGCAGCAGCAGCACCAGCAGCAGCAGCATCAGCAACATCAGTTACAGCACAATCTGCAGCAGCCGCAGCAGCAGAGGGAGTCAGGCAGTGGAGAGGGAGTGGTTCCTAGAAGCTGCGGGGGGGCATCCCAGCAGAAATCAGCCCAGCAGCAATCAGCCCAGCAGCAATCAGCCCAGCAGCAATCAGCCCAGCAGCAGTCAACCCAGCAGCAGTCAACCCAGCAGCAGTCAACCCAGCAGCAGTCAACCCAGCAGCAGTCTAGAGAGGGAGAGGTGACAGCAGCTGCTGCACATGAAACAGATGAGGCTCGGGCCAAAGCACGGGGTCAGGTACGGGGAATGACTGGGGAAGCGGGTGATTTGGAAGAAAGGGATGGGAGGGATGGGAGGGAGGAGAGGGAGGAGAGGGAGGAGAGGGAGGAGAGGGAGGAGAGGGAGGAGAGGGAGGAGAGGGAGGAGAGGGAGGAGAGGGAGGAGAGGGAGGAGAGGGTGATGGGCGATGAAATTGAGGGGAGGTCTTCTGATCAGCGTTACCTGAGGGAGGTGCCTTCTGGGAGCGGTTGGCAAAACGTCTCGTTTGGAGATGGACGGTCAAGATCAGACGACATGAGTGATGGTACCAATAGGGAAGCGGCTAGTAGCGAAGATACGAGCAGGTCGCAAGGGAGTGGGAGAGACGGTGGAAGGGCGGGGCGCGGGTTGAGGGGGGGGAATAGAAGCTGGGGTGGAAGAAGTAGAGGCTCGAGTGATGGTCAAAGGGTGATGGGGGAGCAAATTGACTCTGATACACCGTCACTTGACAGTTTGGATGAGGTTTTCCGGGAACGGATGGGACGAGGCAATGGGGATTCTTGAGAATGTGTATATATACCAATTCAAGCAGCTGATCCATTCCTACGTACCTTCGGAAACCTGAAACATTGTACGGTAGGTTTTACCCCAGTTTCTGCCTTGAATTGTCAAGTGTGTTTCACCAAAACAGGTGCATGTCAAATGTCATTTGATTCATCTATCTTATGACCCACATCCCACCGCTTATGATAAGTAGCACAGGTTTTCAAAGCTTTGTCTCTCAGTTCTGTACTGAGTCTCTCGTACTGAATAATTTTCTATGCAACCACCGCCATGTGCCAGTCAACCACCAGTCGTCAACTCCCACCCATCGTATGGCAGTCTTAGGAAGGGCGAATTCACTTTGGCAATTCTGAACCCCAAGGTTCACTCAAAACAAGGGACGGATTGGGACCTCGCAAAGGACGAACACCCAAAAAAACACACGAGAGTGAAGCCCCAACCATCATCAGCCACAACGTCAATTCCACGACTAGAACCTAACCACACCTAACCACTTGCAAGACGCACACCATCTCTTTGTCACGCTGCAAAATGGGTTTCGTGCCAAAGCGCAGTCAAGGGCCAACACTCTCCTACCCACCCACCCACCAACCCGCCCGCCATCCCGCCCGCCATCCATGGTCAAGTTTCACCACCGCGGCAATCTCGAGGAAGGCATCTGGAGTCTTCTTGGGGTCCTGCTTTTTTCCCTTTTTGCAGACTCGACAAAAAGCTCACAACCAATCACCATCACCACCATCGTCACCATCGCCAGCAGCACCAGCAGCAGCACCACCGCTAGGCCATCGCGATTCGCATCATCATCACCATCACGAATCACGATCACCATCCACCATCCACCATCCACCACCTTTGAGTTGTCACCATTTTTCTCGTCTTCGAGTTTAGCGGCTGGGCCTTTGATTTCAATTTCACTTTTCCGCTGTGAACCACCAGGCGACGTCCTTACAAGGCGACGAACCTTGGTTTCATTTCAGCCAAGTCACTTACCAATGTTCGTCGCTTGTCTCCGCTGATCTAGTCATGGAGTCCCGCAATACCGATCGCACTGATCCACCGCTTCCGCCGAAGCCAGAATCTTCTATCTCCGCGACCGCATTCAACGCGCCAAGAAGAAGTTTAACCGCGGATCCCCGTCAAGGTCAGAATTTTGAGGCGCCTAACGAATCGTCGAATAGGAGGAGTTTATCGGCAGAGATTCGTTGGGGGGACAGGGCGTCGGACTTTCCAGAAGAGGTTACCGTGTTATCCGCACCAGCGGGAGCATCCGCTTCCGGATTGGCCAGGCGAGGCTCGTCCGCGAAGAATCTTCGCGAATCCTTTCTTAGCGAGCCTGTCGCTACCGAGGTTCCGCGTGCGACCATCGCTGGAGATCCCTATGGTGTTCCTATAACGAGGGAACGATGCAGCGGTGGAGGGAGTGATCAATGCGGTGGGGAGCGGCAACGAACAGATGGCGCGATCAACATTGGCGGCAGTTCCATCCCCGCTCATTCCCTTAACGAATCAGCTAATGTCGATGTTCAGCGTTTGGAAGCCCGCCGTCACGACGCGGAAGCAAGCGGCTCTATCCGTAACGAGGATGTTTATAGCGGAGCAATATCTTCAGCACAGGACAGTCTTCGCGATGCCATCGAGCTGATCACGACCGGCGTCGAGGCGAGCTCCAGCGAAGGGATGCAAGAATCAAATCCTCTCTGCAGCAGCTACAGTGAAATTGGAAGTGCGCGTGACAATAGCGAGCTAATGATACAGGAAGGACGACCCTTAGCTATAGCGGAGGAGCGGGGGAGAGCGTACCACGGGAGCGATCTTCAAGAATCCGCCATGGTTGACCGAAGTGCTTATATCGAAGCAGGCACCGAACCGGGCGAAAGCAGGAAGTTGAAACAAGGTGATGGGATCGAGGAGCAATGGCCGACAGGGCCTATGGAATCCTGGGACCCCAAGAAAGTCCAACACCTCATTGCCCGCTCTCCTCCCCACCGACCCTTCCCCTCCTACCTCTCGTCCTCCTTCCCCTCCTCCCTCTCCTCCTCTCTCTCCTCCCACCTCGCCCTCCTCCTCTCCTCGCTGTCTCGCTACGCGAGCGCGCTTGACGCGTGGTGGGGCACAGTGGCGGAGGAAACGTTTAATCTCTCCGAGGAGTTTAAGTACGTCGGCTGGCCGGGCAACTATGGCAAGGCGGCAGGGGGAGCTGCGGCGGGGAGCGCAGTGGGCGCAACGGGGGCGTCTGCGGGGGATGGGGGAGCGGGGGGAGGCGCGGTGGGGGTGGGAGGGGGAGCGGGAGCGGGAGTGGAAGGGTGGGGAGCCGGGGTGGGGGGGGTGAATGTGTGGCGGCGGGTGAAGAAGTACCGACACTTTGTGGCTTTCATGGCTGGTGCGTCACTCATTGGTCGTAGGTCTGAGTGTGGCTCATGGTTTGTGGGTCTGTGTGGCGATGCTTGTATCACTTTTGATCATTCTGAAAGCGACACAAGCATGGTTTGTACGTCTTTTCGGCGTCCCTCCTCGCCAGTCCCAATCCTCCCATCTCAACTCACGCCCCTCCTCACGTCCCTCTTCGGCCTTCCCTCCCTGCGTGCAGTGGTGGCAGCGGTCAACGGGCTCTTCTCTCTGCTTCTCATAGACTCCCTCCTCTCCGGTGCCTGCATCCCCCTCTTCCACGACTGCCATGCGCACCCTCTCGGCCATGCTGCTGCTGCTCTTGTAACCTATGACCTGTGAGTGTAACGTATGACCTTCGAGTGCGACGTATGACTTGTACCTGTAACCTTCAGCCTGTGAGTGCAACCTACGTCCATTAAGCACAACCTAAGTGTAACGTATGTGTAAGTTCAACCTAGATCCCTCATCCCCTCCCACCTCTCTCACCGCCCTCATCCCCTCTGCACGTGCTGTTCCTCCCAGGTCCAATATTAACCACACTCGCCACGCAGCATCTCTCCGCTCCCTCCTCCAACCACACTCCACCGATTTTCACCACTCTGCACACAGCAGCAGCCTCAGACAAAATATCTTGCAGCAGCAGCAAGACGGGCGTCAGTCTGAGGAGGGGTATCAGGAGAGGCAGGGAGGAGAAGAAGAAGAGGGACAGGAGGATGGACCCGACACGCCCATGCAGCATGATCAGAACAAGGATGGGAACAATGGGAATGGTGGGAGTGATGGGAGCGATGATGAGAACAGTGGGAGTAAAGATGGAAGACCTGGGGATGACACCCATTCATCTGCAGCTCTCACGGCCTCAGCGGCCTCTGCAGCGTTCTTCCTCTCCAGACTCGCCCGATCGCCCGGCGTTCATGTCACCCCGTACCCTGACGTCCCACGGGCGTACATACTGCAAACACCACCCACGCCCACACCCTCACCCTCATCCGCCTCTTCTTCTTCGTCTTCCTCCGTTCACCTTCAAGCAGCCGCCGCCACTGACCCTTCACTCGATTCCTCTTCCATCACCATCACCAGCGGCAGCAGCACCGCCACCACCGTTCCCCATGCCTCTTCACGCTGCTCCCTTCTCCTGCGGGACGTGTGCTACGTGCACATGCAGGGCGCCAGTCGCCTGCACCGCAGCAGCGCGGGCGTGTGGTTCGACCGCGAGGCGCTAGAGAGCGCTCTAGCAGGGGACCTGGGCGGGCAGGCCATACACGCTGCCTCTGACCTGTCTAAGATCAACCTGGGGCTCGTGCAGCAGTGTGCTGCTGGGGAAGGTCGCGGTGCAGGTGGGGGGGACTCGAGTACGAGTGGTACTGGTGGGAGTGAGACAGGTGGTGATGGGAGCAGCAACAGCAACAGTGAAGTTGCCGACGTGGATTCTATCGCTGAAGCGCTCTATGAGAAGATGGGGGGGTTTCTGAGTGCGGATGAAATGGCGTTCTATGCCGCCTCTAGTGCCTCCCAGGGGAAGCAAGTCTTCCGCTCTTCTGCGCTCTCTCCGCCGCCTGCTCTCCCCTTGGCCGTCGTCCTGCCTTCGGCCGGGCGGCAGAGTGAATTCGCTGACCTGGCAGATGTGCTGCATGACGTGGCACTCCACCTGCCGACCATTTCTAAGCCCAGCTCCCGCCACCAACGTCCTAACCAGATGGCTGGTTCAATTAAAATAAAGGGCTTGCAAGATAGTGGTTCGAGCTCAGCTGATTCTGCATCCACTTCTGCTGGTACTGCTGCTGCTGCTGCTGCTGCTGCTACTGCTGCTGGTACCACCGCTAATGCTCCTGAAGATACTGAATCCTCAACGGGACCCAATCTATTCCTCCCCTCCGCTGCCCGCCCTCCTAACCTCTGGGTGGGCGGTGCAACTCGGCTGCTTCTCGGGCCTCAAGCCCTCGCCCTGCCGGGCAGGCGCGTCGGGCAGGTGAAATGTTTCCAGAATGCCGTTTTCATCCCAGGCAGGGAGCAAAAAACGAGGAACGGCTGGGCTGTGGAGGCAATAAGGGAGAGAGCATGGGAGATGGTGGAAGATGTAGAGACCTTGGTGTCTAAAAGGCTATGGGGGGGTAGGAAGCTTGGGGCGGCAAGGACTCTGCAGGCCCAGGCACAGATAGAACTGAACAGGGACCTGAAGAGATTAAAGACGTTCTTTAAGGAGATGAGGAAGTGGACAGGAAGGTTCCACCATGTGACTGTGCTGGCGAGTGACGGGCAAGGGGGGGGGATAAAGGAAGGGGAGGGGAAGACAAGGGGGGATGGGGAGGGAGAAAGGGATGCAGACGGGGATGGGAACGGGGAGGGGGATGAAGGGGAGAGGGATGCAGGTATGGCAAATGCGGAGGGGGTGGCGGAGCTGGTGCGAGCCATGATGCCGAAGCTGACTGTCGATGTTGTCACTCTCTCCAATTGCTCCTTCATCGAGCAAGTTGCCGTCATGAAGGTGAGCCTTCTCTCACTTTCCCACGCGCCCTCTCTTTTGCTCTCCAACTCACTCTCTGTGTGTCCTTTGGTTGACTCTGAACAACCTGTTAAATCCCATCAACTTCACTGTCTCTGATTTCCACTTGTCCATCGTCTGTCCCACTCGCTCCTCCGCTGCCCCACTCGCTCAAACAAACTCTCATCTTCTCATGGGCTCTCACTTTCCTTACATCCTCTCTCCTCCCCTCGCGCACGGCTTTCTCAACTGCCATGCACGCATTACTTGCCACCATCCTCTTCCTCCCTCCCATTGCCACCCTCCTCGAGCTCACATTCCCTCTCCTCTCTCTCCCTCCTCCCTCCCTCTCATCCCTCTCCTCCCTCCCTGCAGCGCACGGCTCTCCTAATCGCCATGCACGGCCCATCCCTCTCCAACACCCTCTTCCTCCCCCCCAACGCCACGCTCCTCGAGCTCTTCCCCCCGCACCTCCACTCCCCCCAACACTCCTCCCTTGCCGCCGCATCCCATGTCCACTATTACAGCTGGCAGAACACACACCCTCTCAACACCACATACACCTCTGACTGCATGGCACGAGGGCAGTACGCGCTGCTGCCAGCAGCCCTGTGTGCGGGGAAACCGGAGTGCCTGGCGTGTGTGAGAGACCGGTCGGTGACGGGGGTGCACCTGGGGGAGCTGAGGGGTGTGCTGAGGAAGATTCAGCAGCCGCTGCGGGCTTTCTTCCTGGCTGACAGCGTCAAGCACAGGCACAGGCGGAGAGGCATCTTGTATGGGTAGTCATCCACTGGTAGCAGCCACTTTGCATGAAGGGGGTCTGCATATGCGGGAGCTGTGCGGCGTGCTGAGGAGGATTAAGCAGCAGCTACATGCATCCGTTTTGGCTGCCCATCACAGGCACCGGCAGCACAGGGGGAGGGTTCTCTAAGTCCGCCAGAAAATCGGACCTGGTTATTTTGGTTTCATCTAACCAGCGTTTGAACATGTTCTCGCTGTCTGATTATTCTCACAGAAAAATATATGGACTTCATATTACCTATGTGAAGAAGGGTACCACATTAGGTAGTGGTACTAGTCACCATAACATGTAAAAAAACTGTCATTGGCATTCATGCACGCCAGGAAACCCAACCAGGGCCTCAGATTCGTTTTGGGCCACACTTTTTCGTCAGTGCTGGTCCTTTCGTCAGTGTCGAAAAAAACTTTCTACCGTATCAGAGTCCCTTCGAAAAAATACCCTGAAAAATCAGTGTTGTCAGCATTTTTTTTTTTTTAATACAGTTAAAATCCCGTACGGCATGGAGTGGTCCAGTCGGTAGAAGGAAGAATTGAGGTTTCGGGTTCAGGGACAGGAACAGGGAAAGGGACAGGGACAGGGACAGGGAAAGGGACAGGGACAGGGACAAGGACAGGGTCTCCAACTCCAGGGTCGACAGCTCCAGGGTCTCCAACTCCAGGGTCGACAGCTCCAGCGCCTCCAGCGCTAGTGCCTCCAGCTCGAGCACCTCCAGCGCCAGGGTCTTCAGCTCCATCGCCTCCAGTGCCAGCGCCTCCACCGCCGCTACCGAAGCCCCCACTCCCGCCACCACTCCCACCGCTGCCACCACCTCCGCCACCTCCACCGCCTCTACCGCCTCCACTACCACCACCCCCGCTGCCACCGACACCACTCTTGCCACCCTTGCCCTTGCTGCTGCGGCGCTTCCCACTAAGAGCAGAAGCAGCCCCGACATCCTCAGTACCAAGGATGTCAACAGCAGCAGCAGAAGCGTAAGAGGGGGCAAGGGGGGAGGGGGAACACCCCTCAAAGAAGGGTGTGTGAGGAGTGCCACGAGCAGCACCTACAGCGACTACGCTAGTCTCAGCTGCAAGGAGGTGCTTCTCGAGCAGGTCGACAGTGAGGTATGTGGGGTCAAGGGCGAGAAAGTGGTCCCTGAATGCGCGAAGAGAGTCGGGGAGGCATGTGACTATGAAGTAGAGAGTGATGTATATCGGGGGCGGGTTCTTGTCTAGGAACTCGGCTGGGAGGGCAGTGCGGTAGCGAGCGTCGCTAGTCCGAAGGTGGGTAATGAGGTCCTCGTCTGTGGCAAAGGCTGACAGCTCGGGAAAAAGGTAGGGCAGTATAAGGCGGCCGAGAGCAGCAGTGGCAGGGGAAGAGAAACGAGCGACTACATCGTCGTATAGGGCTTTAGCAGTCTTGTGCTGGCCAAAGTGAGCGCGTTCGGCTAACGGCAGGTGGTTGCGAACGGCTAAGCGAGCAGCAGCGTCACGAGTAAGCCACTGTGAGCGAGTCGCACTGTCAGCTGTGGCGAGAGGGGCGAGAGAGGCTCCAGACGTGTGGTCAAACAACGAAACGCTGTCTCTAGAATCACTCAGTAGGTACAGCTGTAAGTCGTCGAGCCACGTATCGAACTGGATCGGATGGCCCTCATGATCGAAGGTGAGAACAATGAGAGAAGCCATAGCGAGCAGAGCAGGGTGGCGCGCGACCAGCAGGGCAGCACGCAGGCAGGGCGGCGCGCGAGCACTAGGGAATCGCGCAGGGCAGGGCGAGGTGGCGCATGGCTAGGGAAGAGCGGCGCGCGACCAGGGCAGGGCAGCGCAATGGCAGGGCAGGGCGACGGCCAGCAGGGCGGCACGCGGGCAGGGCAGGGCGGTGCGGCAGCCAGTAGGGCGGCGCGCGGGCAGGGCAGGGCGGCGCGGCGGCCAGCAGGGCGGCTCGAGGCCAGCAGGGCGGCGAGCGGGCAGGGCGGCGCGCAGCAGGGCGGCGCGGGCAGCAGGGCGGCGGCCAGCAGGGCGGCGCGCGGGCAGGGCAGGGCGACGCGCAGGCAAGGCATGGCGGCGCGGCTGCCAGCAGGGCGGCGCGCGGGCAGGGCAGGGCGACGCGGCGGCCAACAGGGCGACGCGATAGGCAGGGGAGGGCGGCGCACGACCAGCAGGGCGGCGCGACGGGCAGGGCAGGGCAGCGCGCGGCCAGCAGGGTGGCGCGACGGGCAGGGCAGGGCGGCGCGCGACTGGCAGGGCGGCGCGACGATGGGGCAACGCTACGAGCAGGGAACTATGTGGTGGGCCCTAAAAAAAAAACGGTCATGGAACACGACCTGCTCTGAAACCATGTCAGAATACTGAACGAGAATGAATGCATTGAGCAGAAAGTTGGTACAAGTACTAACCCTAATTGAGTTGTACCCCTTGTGGGCTACTCCACTACAGCCTACACAATATAAGCATTATAACATTTTGACACCTGCCTGCCATGTCCCAACCGTGCTTAACCAGTCAAGTCAAGCTTAGTCTGGCAGTCACAGGTTAACCCAGAGCAGCAACAACCCTCCTACCATTTTATCATCTAGAAAATCCCATTGTATTCCTCCATGAGCAGAACATTTTGCAAAACACAAACGCATTGAGGGGTGTTTTGACCTCAACTCAGCCACCTAAAAAGGGACCGTCTCAGTCACCATTAACGGCAGGACATTCCAGAAGAGGCAGGAGGAGGAAAGCAGGTTGATGCCAGTGAGCCAGCGAGAGGAGGAAGGCAGAATGAGACGGGTGTGGTGTGGCGATGAGGGGAGGAGAGAGGCAGATGCTATTGATTCGGAGCGCCAGTCCTACACAAGAACTTGATTTCAGTGCAGAGCGTGCGGTCCTTGCCAGTGATGCACAGCTGGTCCGGGTGCACGAGAAGAGGAAGGCAGATGGAGAGGCGTGTGGTGGCGAGATGAAGGGGGCAGATGCCACAAGTCAGCGTTGCCAGGCCTGCAGGGGAACTTCATCTCAGAGCAGAGCATGCGGTCCGTGCGAATGATGCAGAGGCGGTCCGGATACACGTCCACATGCCCGAACACGAGGCAGATCGCGACAGGTGTGGGGGTACGGTGAGAGGAGAGAGGCAGGGGGCCGATGCTACAGATCAGGAGCGCCAGGCCTGCAGGGGAACTTCATCTCAGTGCAGAGCATGCGGTCCGTGCCAATGATGCACAGGCGGTCGGGATACACGTCCACATGCCCGAACGCCACCGTGCCAGGGGGGCACTCCACAGCGCCCTCCAGAATGCGGTGGTGGATGCCTCTGGCGTCGAGGGCGTATGCTCCGAAGTGTGCGTGCCCGGCTATCACTGCTGCCACACACTCGTGCCTGTGGATGGTGGCTAGCACCTGAGGGGTGGGAGGAGGACGGGAAGTAGGGGGCCGAGGGGGATGGATGCAGGTGAGGAGGGAAGGGGGTGTGGGTTTCACGTGCGCGAAGGCGACTGTGCTGGAAGGAGGAGGGGGGATTGGGGAGGAGGAGAAAGGGGGCACTCCACAGCGCCCTCCAAAATGCGGTGGTGGATGCCTCTGGCGTCGAGGGCGTATGCTCCGAAGTGTGCGTGCCCGGCTATCACTGCTGCCACACACTCGTGCCTGTGGATGGTGGCTAGCACCTGAGGGGTGGGAGGAGGACGGGAAGTGGGGGGCCGAGGGGGATGGATGCAGGTGAGGAGGGAAGGGGGTGTGGGCTTCACGTGTGCGAAGGCGACTGTGCTGGAAGGAGGAGGGGGGATTGGGGAGGAGGAGAAAGGGGGCACTCCACAGCGCCCTCCAAAATGCAGTGGTGGATGCCTCTGGCGTCGAGGGCATTTGCTTTGAAGTGCGCGTGCCCGGCTATCACTGCTGCCACACACTCGTGCCTGTGGATAACCGCCAGCATCTGTTGGCACGTGTGGTGAGGGAGTGGGTGAGTGGGTTGAGGGAGGAAAGATGGGGAATAGAGTACAAGGTTGTGTACAAGAGAGAACGTAGGGACGGCTCACGGAAGGGGAGAGAGGTCGGACAGCATCAGAAGGTGTGTAAAGATGGGGTAGTGAGGACGGGACGGGGAGGGGATAAAGCAGACGGACCTTGTCATAATTTCCGTCAAAAGACTCACCTTGTTGCAGTCCCAAGAGTCACACTCACCTCATCATAGTTCCAGACTAGGCAGGTGGCAGTGGGCAGGGCAGCGGGTTCAATGGGCTGGTGGCAGCACAGCACCACAGTTTCCCCCAGGGCATCGCATTCCTGGTGATGGGAATTGGACGGCACGGCAGGATGAGTTAAGAATGGGCAGCTTCAAAGGTTTCAAAAACAAAAAAAGGAGAGATGCCCATTGTGGGCCCCGGAATATATGCCACAATGCCCCAAAAGGAAGAAAGGATGAAGTACGAAGCCAAGGAAAGAAGGCGGGGGTTGGAGGGCCTACTGATAGCACGCCTTCCAGCCACCGGAGCTGCTCCTCCCCCACGCCTCCATTGAACTTCACAAAGCGCCTGCGGGCCCAGGCAGGATGGGGAAGGAGAAGTGGCAGCAAGTGTGGTTGGCGGGCGAATGGGCACAAGATCAGCGCATCCTTTCCTGAGCATGGATGGTGCAATGAATCCACCCAAGCCCCTCACTTCACATGCCGCATCACTCCCTCACTCTCACCCGTTCAACCCTTCAAGCCCTTCAGGGCTGTTCTTCTCCTGGTTCTCCCGCTCCAGCACCTCTCTTCCCCTCACAGCATGCGGATGGTGCTCTGACCCCCTGAATCAAGCCCCTTCCTCTCACCTGCTTAACCCTTCAATCTCAAACCTATTCAACCCCTCGAAGTCTCACCTGTTCAGCCCCTCGAGTCCTTCAGGGCTGTTCTTCTCCTCGTTGGGATTCTCCCTCTCCAGCACCTCCCTCGCCTTCACTGCGTGTGGATGGTCCTCGGGCCAGCCCAGCAGACTCACGTCATACGAATCCAAAACTACGAACCTGGACGCAGGAAGGGGGGTGGGACGAGTGTGCAGGGGGGGAAATAAAGAACTGTTTCGTATGCACAACCAAGGAAGTGGGCGCAAATGAGGGCGTGGAGAGGACGAAAAAGAAAGGGCACAGAGAAGGGCACAGAGAAGGGCACAGAGAAGGGCACAGAGAAGGGCACAGAGAAGGGCACAGAGAAGGGCACAGAGAAGGGCACAGAGAAGGGCACAGAGAAGGGCACAGAGAAGGGCACAGAGAAGGGCACAGAGAAGGGCACAGAGAAGGGCACAGAGAAGGGCACAGAGAAGGGCACAGAGAAGGGCACAGAGAAGGGCACAGAGAAGGGCACAGAGAAGGGCACAGAGAAGGGCACAGAGAAGGGCACAGAGAAGGGCACAGAGAAGGGCACAGAGAAGGGCACAGAGAAGGGCACAGAGAAGGGCACAGAGAAGGGCACAGAGAAGGGCACAGAGAAGGGCACAGAGAAGGGCACAGAGAAGGGCACAGAGAAGGGCACAGAGAAGGGCACAGAGAAGGGCACAGAGAAGGGCACAGAGAAGGGCACAGAGAAGGGCACAGAGAAGGGCACAGAGAAGGGCACAGAGAAGGGCACAGAGAAGGGCACAGAGAAGGGCACAGAGAAGGGCACAGAGAAGGGCACAGAGAAGGGCACAGAGAAGGGCACAGAGAAGGGCACAGAGAAGGGCACAGAGAAGGGCACAGAGAAGGGCACAGAGAAGGGCACAGAGAAGGGCACAGAGAAGGGCACAGAGAAGGGCACAGAGAAGGGCACAGAGAAGGGCACAGAGAAGGGCACAGAGAAGGGCACAGAGAAGGGCACAGAGAAGGGCACAGAGAAGGGCACAGAGAAGGGCACAGAGAAGGGCACAGAGAAGGGCACAGAGAAGGGCACAGAGAAGGCACAGAGAAGGGCACAGAGAAGGGCACAGAGAAGGGCACAGAGAAGGGCACAGAGAAGGGCACAGAGAAGGGCACAGAGAAGGGCACAGAGAAGGCACAGAGAAGGGCACAGAGAAGGGCACAGAGAAGGGCACAGAGAAGGGCACAGAGAAGGGCACAGAGAAGGGCACAGAGAAGGGCACAGAGAAGGGCACAGAGAAGGGCACAGAGAAGGGCACAGAGAAGGGCACAGAGAAGGGCACAGAGAAGGGCACAGAGAAGGGCACAGAGAAGGGCACAGAGAAGGGCACAGAGAAGGGCACAGAGAAGGGCACAGAGAAGGGCACAGAGAAGGGCACAGAGAAGGGCACAGAGAAGGGCACAGAGAAGGGCACAGAGAAGGGCACAGAGAAGGGCACAGAGAAGGGCACAGAGAAGGGCACAGAGAAGGGCACAGAGAAGGGCACAGAGAAGGGCACAGAGAAGGGCACAGAGAAGGGCACAGAGAAGGGCACAGAGAAGGGCACAGAGAAGGGCACAGAGAAGGGCACAGAGAAGGGCACAGAGAAGGGCACAGAGAAGGGCACAGAGAAGGGCACAGAGAAGGGCACAGAGAAGGGCACAGAGAAGGGCACAGAGAAGGGCACAGAGAAGGGCACAGAGAAGGGCACAGAGAAGGGCACAGAGAAGGGCACAGAGAAGGGCACAGAGAAGGGCACAGAGAAGGGCACAGAGAAGGGCACAGAGAAGGGCACAGAGAAGGGCACAGAGAAGGGCACAGAGAAGGGCACAGAGAAGGGCACAGAGAAGGGCACAGAGAAGGGCACAGAGAAGGGCACAGAGAAGGGCACAGAGAAGGGCACAGAGAAGGGCACAGAGAAGGGCACAGAGAAGGGCACAGAGAAGGGCACAGAGAAGGGCACAGAGAAGGGCACAGAGAAGGGCACAGAGAAGGGCACAGAGAAGGGCACAGAGAAGGGCACAGAGAAGGGCACAGAGAAGGGCACAGAGAAGGGCACAGAGAAGGGCACAGAGAAGGGCACAGAGAAGGGCACAGAGAAGGGCACAGAGAAGGGCACAGAGAAGGGCACAGAGAAGGGCACAGAGAAGGGCACAGAGAAGGGCACAGAGAAGGGCACAGAGAAGGGCACAGAGAAGGGCACAGAGAAGGGCACAGAGAAGGGCACAGAGAAGGGCACAGAGAAGGGCACAGAGAATCGGCACAGAAGGAAGGGCACAGAGAAGGGCACAGAGAAGGGCACAGAGAAGGGCACAGAGAAGGGCACAGAGAAGGGCAACAGAGAAGGGCACAGAGAAGGGCACAGAGAAGGGCACAGAGAAGGGCACAGAGAAGGGCACAGAGAAGGGCACAGAGAAGGGCACAGAGAAGGGCACAGAGAAGGGCACAGAGAAGGGCACAGAGAAGGGCACAGAGAAGGGCACAGAGAAGGGCACAGAGAAGGGCACAGAGAAGGGCACAGATAGAGGCGCAGATCGGGGAAGCGAAGATGGGAACTGGCGCATGAGTTTAGGAAAGGGCGAGAATACCTGAAGTTAGGGAAGGGCGAGAAGTCATAGTAAGAGCGGTTGTCAGCAGCGGTGGGGATGGCGAGCATCTTATTGAGAGCCACGCGAGGCAGATTGTACAAGCAGTGGTTGCCTGTGGTGCAGTGCGGTGGGCGGGGGATGCAAAGATGCACAAAAGTGTAGACAGGTTGAATGGAAAGAGAGAGGGCCACCAGAGAGAGGCATGGGTAGGCTGATTATAAAATCGTGTTGAGGCGTCTCAGAATCTGAATGCACTCGACTGGACACGAGACAGGGTGGTGTGTGCGGTCAATGTGGTAAATACAGACAGTGCTACTAAGCATTGGTTGGGTGGTGGCGTACCGATCATGTGGTATGTGGGACCGGCTGTGAAACCAGCCATCGCATCCAGAACCTGAAATGTGCAATGGGAGTAGGGTAATGAGATGGGTACTGGAGGGTGGTGAGATGGGGTGAGGGTAGGGTGGTAAGATGGGTGGGGTAGGGTAGTGGAATGGGGTGGGGTTAGGGAAGCGAGATGGGTGGGGTAGGGTAGTGAGACTCTAATGCCAATTGTGTCAAGTCAACGATTTCAGTCAACGTTGACAGAGCTGCCAGCCTCACCGTGTTCACGGCTTCCTCGGATCTGTCTCTGAGGCAGAAGTCGTCCACAATGTGATAGTGCAAAGTCAACGATTTCAGTCAATTTTGACCGACCTGCCAGGCTCACCGTGTTAACAGCTTCCTCGGACCTGTCCCTGGGGCAGAAGCCATCCACAATATCGCCGAAATGAACCGCAAACGCCATCGGACGCGTTGATTGGTTCCAATCCTCGACCGCCTTCTTTACCACTGGTGGGGGAGAGGGCGGTGGGGGGAGGGGGGTAGGGGGAAACGGGGTAGGGGGGTGCGGCATGGGAAATCATAGGGTAGGGTAAAGCGGGGTGTGGAAGATGGGGATAGGGGAAAGCGGGGTGGGGGAGAGGAGGGTCGGGAAGAGGGGGATGGGGAAACACACGGAAAGGCACAAAAAGGAAGAGCGGGCGACGGTCGGACGACGACTTTAAACGCGCTGTGATGAACACTGAGGCAGGAGAACAAGAAGGAAACGCATAATTGAGCCTGCTTGCGAGAGATTTTGTCCACAGCGACAACGGACAAGACAGAACAGGGGTGCAGACAGAAGAGTGGCAATGAAACACAATGAGAAGCAGTGTCTGAAGCGGCAGCTAGAGTGCAGCGGGTCGAAGCGTCGTGTCGGGTACCTTGGAGGCTATGGCGGTAAAACCTCGGGATGCCGAGGAAGGATTGGCCGTCGTTGATATCCGCGTATCTGCAAGCGAAGGAGCGGCAAGTTGTAGGCACGTATGCGTGAGAGTTCGCCCGTGCCGTGGGGGACGACGTAAATTGTTACAACTAGCGTTTCTGGATCACGAACGGACAATCGTGCCGTGACTCTGAGCGGAAACACTTGTACGCGAGCTTTTTAGGCATCTGTGACACTGGGAAGGGTTTGGCGAAGCTAAGAAAGTATAGGGAACGCGCGACGTACTGAACATCGGTGATGACCCCGAAGGAAAACAACGGCTTCTTGCCCTTATCGTCTTCGCGCTTCGACAGATACGAGCCCTGCACTGGCGGGCCTAACGGTCTCCGCTTCGGCAACGACAATTGCTGCTGGAGAAAATTCTGCGGACTAACTAAACTGGAGGAACTGGAGGAAGTCTTAACTATCGCTATTCCTCCATCACTAATTCTGACATCGTCCACTTGACCGTCCTCCTCTACCCGAGAGTCTTCAATTGCCTTAGGGCACTCGGGATTGTCGCGCAGCTCGGAACACGCGGAGGCCTCGGATTGGTCGGAGAAACTATGGCGAGTCGTGTCTTCCAGCTTGTCCTGCCGCTGCTGAAAAAAAGCCCAGAAGTCGCTGCTTCCCCGCAGGGAGGTCGGACGGACGTCGAAAGCGAGCGGGAGCGGGCTGGGCGACGATGCGAGTTGAAGCAGAGGAGAGGAAGTCATAGTGAAACGATAACGCATTCCATTCAAGTCTCTCTCGCCATCGTTGAATCGCCTTCTAGAATGCAGTGGATAGAATTTACAAGGCGCGTGCGTCTCAGTCAGCCTGGGTTGTCGCCGAAAAAACAGCAAAACGTGCTGTGGCGAAGGCAGGGGGGAGTGATGGAGGGAAAATTGGAGTTGTGGGTGGGAAGTAGGGCTGAAGGGAAGTGGAAACACGACACTACCGAGGGAATAGAACTGAAAGCAGAGTTGACGGAAAACGCGACGGCAAACACTGGAGCTCCAAGAGGTGGGGACCGCGGACAGGTTCGTGTCAGATTTCGTGGTGCTGTGCTATTGGCCCTCGCGTGGCGGTTTATGGCACCTGGTTGGTGAAAACCTGACGTGAGAATGTTTGGTTATGTCAGCTCCGTCAGCATCACGCTGGCCCGACACGGAGCAGTCGTTCTCACTGCTGGCTTGCAGCTTCGAATGCAATTGCCTGCACGCTGCCAACAAGAGTACGTTGCCCTCATCCATACCCGTTATCAATTCCTGCATTTGCGGCTAAAGGACGTTGACCCATCACCTGCGTTTCCAGGCCCTTTACAAGATGCAGGACTTGATATTGGACGTGTAAACTTGGAAAACAAAAATTCACCAGTCTGACATACTCGTTATTGAGGGCTTTATTTCTGTAGTGTTTCGACATTGGGATATTATCATACCTTTTGGTGACACCAAATTCCACATCATTCTTACTTCCTACTCTTCTCTGTCACATCGTTTTCGTTCAGGCCTGTTGGCCAGCGTCTTCATTCTCCTAAAACGGTTACCAGCGGTAGGTGCGGTTGTTTTTACCCCCGCCATTCCTATTCTACTAGATTTTTATTCAGATTCCAGATAAGAGCTTTCGAAACAGCCACTGAATCGGAAGGGAGCTCCGCGGTCGGCGCGGAGCCATGGAGCTGGAGACGAGGCAGATGGAATGCTTAGAGCAGTACTTGCTTTTAGCTAAGAGCGCTCGAGGGAGATCTCTCGTGGAGCTCGTCACAAAAGCCACGTCAGATCCAAACCTATTCGCGTTTGGGGAGCTTCTAGACGTTCCACAGATTAAAGAGGTGAATTACCTCGCCTCGGTTCCCAACCCGTTTTACGCCAAGTTATAAACAGGAAGGCATTCGGTGATCTAGCTAATCTTGAAACCTAATTAGACCTAGATTTTATCCTGACTCTCCGCGTGCAGTTGGAGGGCACGGAACACGCGGCAGCACTGGCCGTCCTGCGGCTATTCGCGTACGGCACGTGGCCTGAATACAAAGGTGCGTCTCTTCTGTCCCCCTGATGAGCAACAACGATCTCCGCACGCTGCTCGTTTCGCGTCCCAGTAGCAGGCGACCTATGAGTGTTTCTGCACTGCACCTACCTGGTGCTGGAATACCCATGCGTGCCGGTTTTCGATCCATTCGTGCCGCGTTGTGCAGAGAAAGCGACGCAGTTGCCTGAGCTACAACCACAGCAGCAGCTAAAGCTGAAGCAGCTCACAGTGATGACCCTTGCGGAAGGCTCCAAGGTGGGTTGCAACGCTAGGGTTTCATGGTAAGAGATGTGGATCCTGGAATTGCTCCGTGTCAGGATCCTAATGTCTCAATGTCCCTCCATTCCCAACACCACCAACCCCCTCCCCTTCCCCCCTGTCCCCTCCTCTGTTCCATCTTACCGCTACACTAGATGGTTTGTATCCATGCAGCCCCCTTCATTTATCCTCGTTCGATTCTCCATTCTGTTCTACATCGTCCATCCTCGCTATAAGCAGGTTCTCCCCTACAGCGCGCTCATGGAGCAACTTGACGTTAGCAATGTGCGACAGCTGGAGGATCTGCTCATCAACGACTGCATGTATGCGGTATGTGATTGCACAGAGCTGCTTGTATGCGGTATGTGATTGCACAGAGCTGCTTGTATGCGGTATGTGATTGCACAGAGCTGCTTGTATGCGGTATGTGATTGCACAGAGCTGCTTGTATGCAGCACGTAATTGTGCAGTGCTGTGTTTACCCAGTATTGCACTGATTAGAGCAGCTTCTGCACATACGTGCTTGTGAAGCAAGCAATGCTGATGCAAGATTTCTTGTATGCATGCACTCATCACAGTCACACACCTGTTGGAACGAAGCCCCAACAATCGCATGCACTGCATCTCTCCCGTGTGCCAACATGTGACACGTGCATGGCATGCTGGTGGTAACCGCATGGTGTGGTGGTAACCACTCGGCAGGGCATTCTGCGGGGCAAGCTGGATCAGAGGAGTCGGTGTGTGGAGGTGCAGTTTGCAGCAGGCAGGGACCTCCGGCCCGGGCAGCTCTCCTCCATCCTCGCCACGCTCTCCCAATGGTCAGTCTCCCTGAACCGCGTCTGCTGAGGCAGGTAGCGCCAGCTAGGAGCTTGAGCCATACGTGAGTGTGAAAGGATTTTTTTTTTTTTTTTTCCCATCCTCGTCAAGCTCTCTCAATGGCCACCACCGCCCCGTTTGCCTCTCACCATTTGCATGCTCTCCCCCTCTGCTTCGCTGTATTCCCTCTGCATGCAGGGTGGCGACGTCAGAGGCGATGCTGGGGACGATAGAGAAGCGGATTCAGTGGGCGGATGAGAAGGGGGAGGAGTGGGCCAAGCACAAGAGGGAGGTGGAGGAGCAGGTGGAGGAGGCAAAGAAGAACATCCGGGTGAGTGGGTGGATGGGCGGGTGGGTGGGTTTTGTGGTCTTGAGTGCTTCAGCCATACCGTGCATGAGCACTCTTAGAAACTTTAGCACGAGAGGGAAGTGGAGGAGACAAAGAAGAACATCCAGGCGTGTGGGTGGGGCGTGTGGGTGGGGCGTGTGGGTGGGGCGTGTGGGTGGGGCGTGTGGGTGGGCCGTGTGGGTGGGGCGTGTGGGTAGGTGCTTCAGCCATACCAGCCGTGCATGAGATGGAGATGGGGGGGGGGCAGGAGCCATGTTTGTGAACGGATCATCCCGTAGCATCACTTGGCCCGAATCGTTACCCTTTTTTCTAATCCTGTCTATCCTTCCCGTTTCTCTCTCTCTTTCTGCAACCAGGCTGAGATGGAGATGCGGGGGCCAGAGGCCATGTTCGTAGAGGGCCCATCCCATAGCACCACCCAATTTTCCTCTTTTTTTTTTTCTTCAACCCTTCTTCTCTCTGATTCTCTCTCTCTCTTTCTACCACCAGGCTGAGATGGAGATGCGGGGGCCAGAAGCCATGTTCGTGGAGGGGCCATCAGCAGGAGCGTCGGGGTTGGGCATGGGCATGGGCATGGGCATGGACTATGGGGAGGAAATGGATCGCTCCCGACCAAAGAGGTCAGCAAGGTGCTCCCCTCTCTCTCCGTCTCTCGCTCGCTCCCTTCTTGCGCCCTCTATAACCATCTCTACCGCCATGTACACTTCTTTCCCTCGCTCGCCTTCCTTTCTGGTTGTCGCCCCCTTCGCCTCAATTTCAGTTTGTTCCTCCTGTCATTGCAATGTATGTCTGCCACTATATATCTCTCTTGCACATCTGCCCGTCCTGTTTATGAGGCATTCCTTTTCTCCTTTAAATTTCAGGTCTCTTCATGTCTGCCATGGATGCCTGTCTTGCCCATCTGCTCGTCATGTTTCCACTCGTCTCCTACTTCCAGTTCACTGTTGCCTTCAAGCCATAGCCTCCTCCCACTTAACCACCCACCCACCCAAACGATTACGTCTTTCTCAAATGACAGGAGGAGATGAGGCGTGCCCCCTTCACTTCCAATCACTATCGACGTTCCGTTATGTTCCCGAAAGCTGCAACACATGTCCATTCTGGGATTCCTTTCTTTCCCAGTATACTACATCAGTATACCGGTGCTACAGTAATACGAGGAACTTGTTCTGAGGAACACACCGTTGTGTATCTGAGCTATTGAATTTCATTCTTCCATGTACCGTACCGTAGTAGAAGCGGTGTTGGAGGCGGTTCATGTGCCTCTCCTACAGACAGACACCACACTGTGCATCCAGTGAGCATGTGTGTGCATCCAGTGAGCATGTGTGTGCATCCCATGCTGCTCCTTCAACCAGTTTTGCAAGCAGAGCAGAGCCAGAGCCAGAGCCAGAGCCAGAGCCAGAGCCAGAGCCAGAGCCAGTGCCAGTGCCAGTGCCAGTGCCAGTGCCAGTGCCAGTGCCAGTACCAGTGCCAGGGCCAGTGCCAGTGAATAGACTTCTCATTTGCACATTTAGAAAGAGTTGAAACTTGTCAGCTGCCAAGTGGGGTTGCATGTCATGGTTTTGTAACAGAATTTATGTGCTACTGGTATAATACACTCTCTGCTACTCTAGGTTCAGGCCCAAGTTACATTGCATTGTTATTGATTTAGGCACGTGGGAATGGTGCAGCTGGGTAGAAATGAGAGATTTGAACAGTGTTCCAACAGGTACAGTACGTTGTGCTGCACACTAACCTCGGCGTAGTGCCGCGTTTTTAGTATACTTCAACCAACACTAATGAGAGTTGCTTCGCACACTAGCCCAGAAGTAGTGGTGGCCGCTTGGGAAGGAGTGGGATGTGATCCACTCTGGCAAAATGGAGAGAAAGGGGGTGGAGGGGTGGGGTGGGGTTGGGGACAACAGAGTGAGTTTGAGTCTCCTCAAAACATGCCTGGGAAGTAAAAACACGGTGAGGGGGACGGAGGAGAGGGAGAAAGAGGGAAAAGGGAGGAAAGGGAGAACGGGAGGAGGGGGAAAACGGAGAAGGGTTGAGACAGGGTATAATGTTTCACCTCCTGTCATCCCAGAACCCCATGCCAGCACTCCTACTTGACCTAGAACAGCCTGGTCCCAACATGCATGTGGATGCCCATGACGATGCATTCCGACACACCCCTGACCTTGTCCTATGACCTTGTCCTTGACCCTTGACCTTGTCCTATGACCTTGTCCTTGACCCTTGACCTTGTCCTATGACCTTGTCCTTGACCCTTGACCTTGTCCTATGACCTTGTCCTTGACCCTTGACCTTGTC